CTCCAAGGTAATACGATTCCTGCGAACGTTTCGATGTTCCCGTGTTCGTCGTTTCCTTGTTCTCCCCTCGCAACTTTGCTCGCCGCTGGTAAATCGATTTGTCGATCAAAGAAGTTTGCGTCCAACGACGTAGTATCGACGCGGCGGAATAAACGTCAACGTTTCCCCGCTAAAAATTTACCCGAACGGCGTGTTCGCGGCGAATTCTTATCCAATTCCGCGTGTACCGTAAGTTCTTAGAACGTTCGATAAGAAATAGAACGCCCTTGAAAACAAATTTTCTTTTAAATCGATACCCGTAGTCAGTTTCAGAGAAACGCACTATTTGCGAAAACATGCTGGCTAGTACTTATGCAAACATCCCTCAATAAACAATTTTTAGTCCAGTTGTATCGCACATCAGTCGTATGATCGATAGGAATTGCTGAAAATTGTTTGGGTGCATAGTGTCGAAGAAAATGTCAAAATATACATAGAAGACAGCATAAATTATAATAGTTGATGTGCTCATCGGATAGGGGATGAAGTGCCCTTTAGCATGAGCGTTCGAACATGTCGATAGCTTAATTAGTTCCGGAGATATAGTGATTTTAGTTTCAAGTCAATGCGGTAGCTAGTTTCGGAGATATGAGGGTTCGTAGCGTTTGTTTACGTCGCGTGGTCAATGAACTCTCACTACGGCCTTGGCAAGGTCGTTCACCGCACGTAATCGTACTGACTAGGTCACGACTCACGCGCAAGCGAGAGGTCCGACGCGACGCGTCAGACGGAGACAGAGATAGTCGGATTAAAAAAATTACCTTTTACATAAATTACGATATCTCAAAAACGGAAAGTCGGATCGACAAAATTCAAAAGCCATTTTAAAGAGGAAAAATTTCGAAACTGCACGTAATTAAAATTTTAGTAACTTCAATACGCGGCAGTAGCCTGTCGCAACACGTAAAGAGCGATAGCAGAATTTTTAAAAAATTACCGCTTCACATAAATTACGACATCTCCGAAACGGATAGACGGATCGAGATAAACCAAAAACCATTTCAAAGAGAAAGCTTTACCGCTTCCAACAGTGGTTCAATTATGAATAAAGCGCTAGTAGTTTCGAAACTGCACGCGTCTAAAGTTTTAGTATTTTTAATACGCATTATTAGACTGTTTTACGGCAGTTCCTTCAAGTATAAATGCTCGCGTTATTCGAAAATTATATTTCATTATCTTGTTTTACTTTCGAGGTCGCAGGACACTTAGGAAGCGCCAAACGTTGGCCAAATATTGATACGAGAAAGTTGATTTTTTAATCAAACGCTAAATTCCTCGATCCCGGACCGCTCTGCGGCGTCGCGTCGGTCCGGCTCCCCGTTTTATCTCGAGAGAAATTGGAGACGGCTACCGGGGCGTGTAAAATGAAAAACGCCGACAGAAAGAAACTAGAACGTACAGAAGCGAAATATTCGCGACGCAAAAGTGAAAAGACCCGCGCGCGGCGGGCTAAATGGATTATCAGCGTCGCGATTCCATCTATTGCGGGTCTTCTTTCTCTCGCTTCGTGCTTTCGCTGCCCCCCCCCCCCTCCCTCCTTCACTCCCCCTGTTCTAGAGCTCCTCACCGGGCGACGTTGAAGCGACAAAGCCGGGGCAAACCGAGACCGGATACTGAATTTCCGCTGAGAGATCGCGAGCGGCTGCCTCCGCTTTGTCTTTCCTTATTAACTCGCTAAACGTGTAATCTCGTTGCTTCGTTCGGAAGTAACGGCGGATCGCCTCCGTTTCACGATTCGTCGTGTCGTCGGTGCGCCTCGAATCTTACGAGACGCTCGTCTTCGTCGATCAGGGACGCTCGTCGTTCGAATAATAAAATTGTTCGAATATAAAATCGATTAACCTTACGCGATCAAAAACATTTTTGATGTTTCGTTGCAACAGGTCCGTGTCAACAGCCCAATTTACAATTTAACCGTACGACTTAATGTAATTTTTCAAATGTATACTATTTAATTTTGTTTAAATTTGTGAGTACAAAGAATGGTCACGAAAAAGAATAGATTTATTTTACGAATACCTCATGAATGTTAATATATAAAACTTCATGAAGAGTGAGTAGCCTAATGATTGTAAAACTTGACATCGAGAACTTGTAACTCAGACCCGTCACTGTATGGCAAAGGGTTAATATAAGCGAAACAATAACTTACGAAAACATGTTTTACCATTACTCGAATCATCACTAGATTTATGGAACCTGTCGATTCAATGGGTGTCAGATTCCATATTTAAAGACACAGAGCTCGTGAATATCATTTATCAGAAATTCACGTTAAATTCCATTGTCGAATAATATTTAAATAAAGCCTGAAATTAGGCAGAAGTAACGATACCAACTGACTTCTGTTTCCGCAAGTTTCTAACACTGACTTTGTTTTCTCGTATTTTATTAAAAAAAAATGACATTGTAACCGTCAACAGGACGAGTTTCGATAAAAATACGTGCAATCGATGTTTGTATAACTACCGTTCGACGTTGTTCGACAACCAACGATTGCAGCTGCAGTGTTTCGTTGTTAAAAATCTGTTATTTTTCGTTCAATATTTTTATCGCGCTGAAGACTTTGTCCGTCCCCGCTGCCGACGCGCGAAACCCAAACAGGGGATCCGGTCGATCGACGAGCGGTCGCTTCTCCGAGAAACGTCGGATCAACGCCGGTACTCTTTCCGCTTACCGGCCGAAACAGGCTCGCTCGACCATCCTCCTCACCAAAATAACTTTCGGCTGTGTGGACCGGGGCGGCAATCATGGCAATAAATCGATATAAGCGCGTAAGCCTCTTACCAGCCTAATAGCGTAATATTCTGTCTACGAAGAATAATTTTCGAACGTCGCGCGGAAAATATTCCGAACCGAGGAATCCTAAGAAAAGGCATGTTCCCGTTCGAAAGGTGGAACATTATTTTTATGGGCACGTTCGCGCAAACGACAAATGGAACCGCTGTTTGCACGCTGAATTTCGCAGTGGCGAACTTCTTGGGCGGAATAGGGAAGAAAAGGCAAAGGGTCTCCGCGTATTCGAGGTTGGATATCGATCTCGATTCACTTTCAAGTTAAATTTAATTTAATTTATTTACGAGAAATTCACCAACGGTAACGGAAACGAACGGTACAACGCTGGACGGTGATAAATTATAATTATGGTAAGTCCTCGAGTTACGCGGCTGCAGTGGTGGTTAGGTCCTTCGAGTATGTTTCATACGAGTGGGTGTAATTTCGTATCGATAGCTTCCAGTATAGTGTCGACTTATGTTGTTTTTGGGAAACATAGGTTTATGTATGGAAAGACCACTCTGGTTCTTTTATATTTTTGATTGGGAGAATTTTGATTTTTATACGCAAGTATTTTGAGAGTAAATAATACGGATATTAAGGAACGTGATAATTGTTTAATATTTATTAATACATTATTTAACAGTGTAATAATGTATTAACTTCGAACGTTACTTTTAACTGTTTTCAACTTGGACGTTATTCGATGTCGAATTTTTCCAAAAAACAAAGAAACGTATGTAATAAAATGAGCATACTAGACGAAATGGACGCTGCTGCATTCATGCGATCAGAAATTTTGCGCATGAATACTGTATGTCCTTTGCCATGGACGTTTTGCGAACAGAATATTGAATTCAGGGATGTGTGGTAAACAAAAATATTCGTTATCACGAATTTATACAGTGCATGAATGTATGATATTTATTATATTTACATAAACACATAAATTTAACAAAAAGTGAACATACAATGCATATGTGCTATAAACTATCGATGTGAAATAAAGTTTGCCCTTTCGTAATTTATTCGCAATGGAGTATCTATTGATCTTTGTAAGTTCAGTGAACTTTTATATCAGATTGAAGATTTGTTATATCGTGAAACTTAGATACTACGCAGAGCATTGAGAAATATTAAAAATGTTCATTGGTTGATAAGTAAATATTTTCTTTTATCTCCATTAATTTCCTCAAAATTATTAAGTTGTATCTTAAATAAAAAACGAATTGAATTCGGAAGAATGAACGAGCATGGAAGATGATTATTTGTTTAATAATATGCCATTTAATATTAAAGACAAATGTAAAAATAAGTGCTGTAAAATTAAAAATGAAATTAATGTACGAGCGTGCGTTAATGCTGCTCGTAGCGCGCAGAAAGTACGATGTAAGCGAAAGCAGGAAAAAGAGAAAACCAAAATTTACTAAAGAGCATATTCATTTATCAATGGACCACTGAAAGCGAGTGCCTTTCACAGAGGAAAGCAAATTTAATATGCTTGGATCTGATGGGCGTTACGCACCGCGAAAAAAAAATACTGTGCATTGAAAAGAAGAATATTCGACTGTTAAACAGGGTAACGGATTGGCAGTAGTATGAGGGATGTACAAATCCTAATGGCGTTGGATTATCGATAGTATTATCCACCGTGTAAAAATATGTACAAGCTGCAAAAAGCTTTCGTTACCAGACAAGCTCCAAGTTAATAATTGTTTTAATTACATTCTGTTCCGTATAATTCGCAGCGTGTCTCAAATTAACGTTTATATATTTAAAAACTTTATCGTTCTCGTAGAAACATTTTAAATGTCGTGATCTCCGAAGTAGTCAATTTTCTCAACAAAGAAAAACGTCAAAATGTTAACGAATGTCACAACGAATCATTGCTGTAGCGTGTCTAGAATTTATCGGGGGCGGTTTTTCTTTTGTTTCAGCGCCGTCAGTCCGATCATCAGCATTAATTATAAGTTCTGCACGGTTTGCAGCGTGTCTCAAATTAATGTTTACACATTTATAAACTTTATCCTTTTCGTAGGAACATTTTAAATGCCGTGATCTCCGAAGTATACAATTTTCCCCGCAAAGAAAAACGTAAAAATTTACGAATAGCGGGTGGGTTCGTTTCACGAATAATCGCTGTAGCGTGTCTGGAATTTATCGGTTCGGTTTTTCTTTTGTTTCAGCACCGTCAGTCCGATCATCAGCGGGTTCTGCTGCAGGATGCGAGCCTACATACCAGCGGACAGTACAAATGCGAGGTGAGCGCGGAGGCGCCGGACTTCAACTCGGTCAGCGCCGATGCCAGCATGGAAGTCGTAGGTGAGCGAACCAATGCACCTTCCTCACCCCTTTCCTTCTGGTCCCGATCCCCCTCCGTCCTCCACGTCATCCCCTCTGCCCCTGTGTCCCCCGTCCTGTGTCCCGTTCCGTCCCGCTAATTAATGATCCTTTGAACGCGGCCATCGAACCGCCGTAATTCGAGCAAAGCCTTCGTCGTTTGCGAGTTTCGGTGATCCCCTGCCGGGCCAAGCGAAGGAAAACGATCGTCCAACCAACGACTACCACCGCGACAACTCGGTCAAACGGTTCCTCGGGATCGACTGACCGAATGGAATTACGATTTTAGCGAATTTGAAAAGGCCGTTAACCGGAGTCGATGACGAAACGATCAGAAGGAAGCTCGACCAGCTTCACGTGACGCCAGAAGATTGCCAAAAATGCTAAGAGCGCTTCGCAAACGCACCTTGGCGCGTGACAAACGAATCGAGACCTGAGAAATTATGAGATTTAACCCTTTGAAGTCCACTGGCTATGTCGACAAACATAATACATACCATCGATTCAAGTTTCATTTATGATAACACAAATTTAGTTTAGGAAATATAGGAATAATATTTAACCCTTAAATGCACGATTTTTTAATTTTTACCGAAAAGATATGTTATATGTACATTATTATATAGGTTTATGCAAAAATACCTAAGAAAATATTCATTCAGTATACTAGGATTATTATACCCATACCCTATCATTTTTTAAACAGATGAATCAAGGAAAACACCAGTACAATACCAACGTATTTTAATAAAAAAACGCTTACCAGCATAAAATACAGTTACTCGCCTATAAAATATCTTTTTAGCTAGAATGAATCTCCAAAAAATGTAATTTTATTGTCACTTCTTAATTTGTCAATCTAAATGTCATATTGAAAAGCGCGCAGATTTACTTTTTTCTATTTTTTTCAAAAGTAAAACTTCCACTACGGTTAATACTTTAATTAGGGGTTAAAGTCAGTGTTTCATTTTTTAGACACCATGCATTTAAGGGTTAAATTATAGGTATTTATGCAATTATCCCTTGGATAAGGAGATGCACCTGCGGAACCAAACCTGAACAATTTTCTCTGATTGGTAAAACTGGTTCACCTGCCCTGCGCTAAAAGACTCTTCAGAAGTTAGTGAGAAAATAGGTCTTCCTAATGATCCCGGAAGAAAAGATGAGAAAAGAGCTAGGAAATCTATCTCGACACCAAATTATTTGAACTAATTCAATAACCAGAAGCTGTATTTGGTTATTTAAATTAGTTTCTAACACTCTGTAAACTCATTTCCTGTATAAAAAGACAGCAATTTTGGTTATGGAGGAACGTAGCCAGAGGCTAAGAATTTAACATTGAAACAAGAATTGTTGTTACTTTTGCACGAAGAACAATATAACCGGAAGGGAAATTATAGAATAATCGAAGTTATCTCTCGCGATGCAAAGTGTCGGCACTTTGGAAACAAAAAGATGATCCCGACGACCAAAAGCAACCAGTGACGCGGAAGATGTAAGACTTCGAAATTATTTCAAAGCGAAATAAAAGACCGCCGGAGAAATTCGAGTCGAACGAAAGAGATAATCCTGTATCTCTGATTACGGTGAAATGATTGTCAGCTGCAGGATTAAGGAGCAGAGTAGCAGTCGAAAATCAATTTCAAGAGTACGGAATAAAAAAAAAACTAAACGCTCGGAGTCGGGCTGGAAAAACGTGAAACTGGACGCTCGATAATACGTGGAAAAGAATGCTGTGAACCGACCAGGTCGACATTCGAGGTATTCATGGTATTCGAAGGATTTGCACCGCCATGTAAAGTGCTATCAGCGAAACAGGAAGTTCTCTCTATTCGTACAATTAACTATTGCAGCAGCTAACAAGATATGTGTTTACGACCGTGGATTCCAAGAATTTTTGTTGATTCCACGGAGAACGTTTGTGTTAAGCAAGCAATTGATATTTATCACGAAAAGAAAAACCTAACGATTCATTGTGTAAGAAAAATGAGATTTCGCTCAGGATAGTGTTAAATAACAAAATTGACACTTGATGAACGTTCTAAAACTCTGTGCTTCGCGACTAGTCACGATAAGAGCCAATACAAATCTTTAGGCACCCTTGGCAGTATGGCCCTTTTTTTACCAAGTACCCTGACCAATCCTTCTTTAAGAGGGGGAAACGCGCCAAGAAGAAACAGATGGCCTGCTTCAGGCATTTCTTTACTTCTATTTTTCTGACAATTATAAAATGTAAATATGTGATTTTTGCCTCCTACGCCAATGCGATCATATAGTGGAGCGGATCGAACGATCTTATAACGAACGAAGAAGGAAGAAACGGAGGGTACGGGACAAAAGCAGAGTGGATTCGTCAACGAAAGCCTTTGACAAACCGGTTGGCTTGATTATTACTTTGGCTCGAATGCGAAACGGAATAAGAACAACCCGGGGGCGCAACACATTCCCCGTCGTGAGGCTTCGGTTAACGCGCTCGAACAGACCCAGATCCACGACGGAGAACTGGAGATCGGGCGAGCGTTAAATTTTAGGATCGCGTAAAGACGAGTCGAAGCGCGCGATAAATATTACGACATCGTAAGTCTTGGGTCGTAACGCGAGTCGCAGACGCACCGGTTCTGGTGGACAAACGGGTGTCGCGACGATGTTACCCAAGAAGAAACAGAGAACGAAGAAACGACGAGCCCATCGGTCCCTCGTCGTCGAAGCTCTGTCGCGTCTTTCGAATACGACGAAACTTCCTTTCTCCGTCTTTCTGCTCTCGTAGTCTAACCGCGCTTTGCGAGGTATGCACGATCGATACCAGGTGCCCGCCATTACCTTCGCCCGACCTCGTGGAAAATGTTGTACGCGACAAATAACCCGCGGGCATCCTCCGCGTCTCGACCAGAATCCTCTTCGCTGTACCCCTTTACGCGCGACCTTTCCTTCCCCCAAGCTGTTTTTCTTCATTTTTTTCTCATTGAACTCCTAGATTTTCCGGGGCCCCGCGCGTACAAACGGTTCTCGGGGCCTGATCCTTGCAATGTTATAGACGAAAAAGGAAAAAGGGAGGCCATGCATGCAATAGTATTTGGAGTCAATGTACGATTGCCTTGACCACGAAGATAAACAAACTTTAAACTCGTTTTTCTTGAAAATGTAGCCCATGATAGAAAAATGTTATATCAAATCTTCTTTTTTCTCATTTTTTCATGTAGAATTATTCCCTGTACTTCGAATTCCGGCCCACCCTATATTATGCTCATACGTATAACACGAGGCTAATTAGATCTGTTCAACGAATTAATAAAATTATAAAACTATTACATATATTTGAAGGAATATTACGTAGAGACGTTCTATCGATAATTTAAATATTGGCGCCTTGCGTGTAGCTTACTACACAAACCGCGGAGGTTAAGGTTAGGTTAGAGCATCATTACCGGAAGAGAATGAAAGCGAAAGAATACTACAATCAGTAGCATGATCTTTCCAGCAGATTTTGGAAAAGATTTAATATTTAAATCTTGTATGAGAAGGGTTTCACGGCATCTCCTCGATAAAACGTCTAGGTGGGGCGCTTTAACGAGGCAGAAGCGTAAATCTGGTTCCTAACGTAGATTTCTCTTTTTGTTTCGACCTGACGATGAACGTTGTATATAAATATCTTCAAAACTGTACTTATATAACAATTTTTCACCGCGTTTAACGCCCATATGGCAGACTTCATCGTTTACTAATTCCAGCTTAAATTTTCGAAGACGGCAAGTTTCGTATTAATGCGAAAGACTGTTTAGGAGGATATCCGTCGTCTAATCGTGTGCGAAGCGGGAGCAGGAGCACGTCGACGTAGCGAGTTTGCGGAATAGAAACGCGATCCGGCGCAAGGAAGTCTCGGAGTCTCGCGTTCGAAGCGTGGTGGAGTCGAACGCGGGTCGGGCGAAAGCGTTTAGCGTCAGTGAAGTTTGTCATTAACGAGGAAGCCCTCGACGCTCCAGCCCCCTCCCTTCCCCGTCGCGTAAATCGCGTTATAAAAGGAACCGTTTATTAAAAACGTCCTCACGGGTTCACGGAGCGACCCAAAGTATGCATTAGAGCCGAAGCGATCGCGCGTAAGTGGTACCTGTTGTGTTGTTGCAGTTCTTCCGCAGGATGAACCGACGATAACCGGGGAGGAAAAGATTTACGCTACCGGGGACGTCCTTGGCCTGAATTGCACCAGCGGCAAGTCTCATCCGATCGCAAAACTCAAGTGGTACATCAATGGCGTGCAGGTGTGCGAAACCCGTTCGTGTCTTCTCGACTCGATCTGTCTCTTTATATTTACCCCCTTGTCCGACCATTCGAAAGCCGAGTAACTTTTGTTTTGAAAACATTTTTTCGTCACATAAGAGTTTCAGAATTTTTTGCATTCCCCTGTGTTTCCTTGGGAGTGAATTCCTCGTCACTGTTGGATTTGGAATATTTTGGTAGGCTGGGCTAGATAGAATCTGTCTATTATACTGTTTATATTAACAGAAACAGTTACAAGTCTGGATCTAGCCTCGAGAAGCAGGATTCAGGATCGAAAGACACGGATAGAATTTAACGGCGAGATGATGCAGGTGGAGTTTGCGTTTGCAGGATGAGAAGGATCGTCAAACGTAGGAGAGGGCAAGAGCGAGCCGAGCTTATCCACGTCGCAACGACGGTCTGGGCGTCGCGATACTTGATGAACCAAAGCTCCAATTAACGAACGGTACCGAAACGCGCGGTGGAGCTTTTAGATACGACAACCCTTGCCTTCGTAACCGAACCAACGTTGCGGGAACCACCTTGGCTGCTAAAGGTTTTTCGCGTCGTCTACCCCCAACGTGCACGCTCCATTCTCTGTCCTTCGTTTATAGCATCTCATTTTGTAAAAGTGTGTTTAGACGTACAATAGTGTCGCATTAGATGACTGTAATTCTGCCCCGACAGTTGATCGTCGCTATCCCCACCTTACTCCTGCTCTTAATAGCATCTACAAAGCCTTCAATTTTATATTTCTAAACTAAACGCAACAAATGTCTATTATACAGTTGATTCCAAAACTTTAAATTTAAACATCTCGAAAACAGCACATTTGTAGGAAAAATGTTATGTACAAAAGTTACTTGCTTTCGGTTTTATTTATTTTTTATTCGTCGAACGCTACTAAGGTTATCCAAAGGAGATTTATGTTATTATTATATCTCGTGTATATAATAGCGAAGAGTAAAAAATAATGACAAAACGATGCAATCTTCTGAGTTTGGTTCGTGCATGTATAAATGGACCTTAACGCTTCGCTCGACCAAAGAAACTGCAGCTGAGAGAAAAAAAATCAAACGTTTGCATGAAAGAAACGGGGGCGGCGAGAGGGCGAGCGGAAGAAGAACGACGGGAGTCGGCGGAACGCCAAAACTCGGCCAACTCGGTTAATTGCTAATTATGCAAGTCGCGTCGCGTAAACGAAAGGAATCCAATTTGCACCCGAAGAAGAAGGCCGGCGGGAGTTCGCAGCAAGATCGGTGGGCACGTTGTCCTAGAGCAACTTCTCTTTCGTACATGGCCGATTCTGCTATGTTTCCGGTGCTGATTCGCAGTGGCGCGTTATATGTACATATAATACACAAAATAGAACGTAGGAGTCCCATCCAAAGACGGAACAAATAAAAGTTTTGTTCGGCAATTTCAAACTTGGATTTTGGGAACCCATTATTTGGGTTTCTTTCCATCATAATGAACAGAATTCATAGGAAACAAGTTTCTTTCCATATTATAATGGGAAGAATTCATGAAAAACAGGTTTCTTTCCATATTATAATGGGCAGAATTCACAAGAAACATGTTTCTTTCCATTATAATGGAAAGAATTCACAAGAAAGGGGTTTCTTTCCATATTATAATGGAAACAATTCACAAGAAACAAGTTTCTTTCCGCATTATAATGGGAAGAATTCATGAGAAACAAGTTTCTTCCCATTATAATGAACAGAATTCATAGGAAACAAGTTTCTTTCCATTATAATATACAGAATTCACATGAAACAAGTTTCTTTCCATTTATCGTGAATCATAATTATAGCGTGCGAATAGAAGTAACCATGAAAAAGCACATTTCTATCCAAGTCTTGCTCTATCCAATCTCTATCAAAATATGCATTTGCAGAAACATCTGGAGTCTAATTACTGTTCGATCGAAACGCCATAAATATCCTTCCCTGTATCGTGTCTCTTTCGCCAACGGTATAACGCGTCACTGCTGATTCGACTTCCATCCCCTAGAAGGGATTTAAATATAATCCGCAAAGTGGCGGCAGTTGATGGCCGGAAGCTCTCGGACACGCGGGCGCGAGTACGACGCGCAACTATACGGGCTTAAAGACTACGCCGATGAACGCGCTCCTTTTAGGGCTTCGCGACGAATCAAGCCCGCCGGCACGAAAAGTTTCCTCCTCTCGTCCCGTCGTCCCTCTTTCTCGCCGTCGCGCGAGCCTCCCACGCGCTGAGAAACTTGGCAACGTCGTCGAGCGATGTCCATTAAGAGTTGAGCGAGTTTAGCGCGGGCACTTAGCGCGAGCAATATTGTTTCGCGAACGTCCCCGAAAGATTCGACGAAGTCGAACCGTGATTTTCGCTTCGACCTGCCGTCGACAGTTTCTTCAGCCTCCGGAGGCGGTGTTAATCTTCGATTCTCTTTCAATTACTCGCGTACGCGCTTGAAGACCCTCGACGCGCTTCCTCCTCCCGGAATCGATAGCTATCGGGCATCGGGATCGTCGCTAAAGCTTCTAAAGAATCCGGTGACAGACAGGGGTTGGCGGATCGCGGAAGAAACGAGGGAATTCGAGACGACTAGGGGGGGGATCGTTCGTGAAAGCGAGAAACGGTTCAGCGAGGCGGACAACGAAGGACAAAAGTAGGGCGGTCGCGATCAAAGGGAAAGAGAGTCTCTGCTGGTAGACGAGTACGGCTTAAAAATGATTTAATTTCGAGGCTCGTTTATCTCTGCGGCCCTTCTCTCCATTACCTCCGTGTTCTCGCGTAATGGAGAGATCCGGAAGGAACGAACGGGGCACTCGAATCTCGTCGGGGACCAGAGTTGTTCGCGAAACGGCTTCGAACCGGGAAATTTTCTCGGTCGAATGCGGTCGCGGGCAGAGAAACGTTCGATTCCGCGGTTAGCCCGCGGGCGGATCGTTCGCTCTCCGAGGAAATCTCGACGTCGCGAGATCGAGGTCTCCGAACCTCTCGACTGCACCGGCCCCATTACGTTGAATCGCGGCGGGTCGTATCGTCGTTCCAGCGAGAGTCGGGGTCGAGAAATATTCCACGACAATTTCCATACGCGGTCGCGATAATCCGCAACTCGTTTCGGTACGCTCCCGGTGCTGGAAAGTCGGTCGGTGAAGTTTGCGCGTGGTTGAGCGATCGCGATCGCGAACGTTAAGCCACCGCCACCCCTCCTCGAAGCCCCGATCGTAGTCACGATCTCGATAGAACTCGAAGAACACGTTTCGTCGCTGGTCCGTTTCAGGTGAAGCCAGACTCGGAAACGGAGTTCGAGCAGCACGGACTCTACTCGGTGATATCCAGTTTACGACTACAGTTGGAACCGGATCACATCGCCGGCGACAAAATAAACGTCAGGTAATTTCGCCCCTGGACAATCACCTCTCCCGACAAAAGCACCAACCAACCGTCACAACCACAGCCACGCCGTCATCCAAGGCTCACGACGATTAATGCGTCTCTATAAATTTTGTCGAAGATGCGAGGCGACCGTGGAATTGGATTCAAACTCGGACGCGCCGCTCGTCGAGACGCGCACCACGGAAGTTTTTGGTAAGCCTTCCCTGCGATTGCGCGTTTCTTCTCCATTACCACTTTTCGTACACCTAACTACCCCTCCCGCCCTCCCCCGTTCCCCTTTCAACGCTCCTTCTTCGTTGCAAAACGAAGAGAGGGAGGGGGCCTGGTAAAACGCGGTAAAGCGACGGACGCGTTAATTAACGCGAGCCTGACGGCACGAGAAACGATTACCTCGTTATTTCCGAGCGAAAGAGGCGCGGAACGAGCGGGAGAACGCGACGAGTCACTTTCGCAGGAAATTAAGCATCGCCCGTGCGCTCCGACGAATTAAGGATGCTTTACGATCGCCGGTCGCCCGTGGAACAGGAGGCTTCGGACTATTCCGCCTTCGATGGCCGCGAAGGCGGAATACGGCCAGGGACTCCCCCTTCGGACCGTACACGGCGATCCATCGAAATTAAAACAATAATTTACGCTCGTTTACCGTTCGCGATTCATTACGCGACCCGGTCGAACAACTTGCAAACGATAGTCGTTCGGTAGAAACCGCAAATAAACGAGACTTTACGTTGAAAATGTGGGTTATCTTTCGGGGTTGATTCGTTATGTCGGTGAGAATCGAAAAGTCCTGTATCATTTTATGATCGGAGGCTTCGTTACTGAGATAAGGAATATTCAAATATAACACTGTCGTTCCTACGATACTTCGTGAAAACTATCGGCAACTATAGTTAGCTTTCATGGGAAGCTTTGTGAGTACTACCAAATTCGTGAGAAGCAAGTTTCTTTCCATTATAATGGAAAGAATTCATGAGAAATATGTTTCTTCCCATATTATAATAGACTTAATTCATGAGAAATATGTTTCTTCCCATATTATAATAGACTTAATTCATAACAAACATGTTTCTTTTCATTATAATGAAAAGAATTCATAAGAAACATGTTTCTTTCTATTTTAATAGGGGAAAAAATTCGTAAGAAACATGTTTCTTTCTGTTATAATGGAAAGAATTCATGAGAAACACGTTTCTTTCCATTATAATAGAAAGAATTCATATGAAACGAGTTCCTCTCCATATTATAATGGAAAGAATTCATGAAAAATAAGTTACTACGGCCGCCTATCCACTTTCTTGTGACTACCTAAATTTGCTTGTATCTAGAATCGCCACCGATTTAACTATCGCAACTCTGATTTATTGTAACCGAAAAATCATACTTTCTAACGTGAAATTCCCCAGTGCACCGTCGATTTTATCTACCGCGATGGAAGAATTAGAACCGTGTTTGCATAATAAAAATATTCAAAATCATCTGATGGTAAGAAATGCGTGATTTCAACGCGAGAATCTCTAACGAACGCAAAAATGTATTAGAATTCACAGAGCTGCATTCGTGGCATCTAGCAATACGACGCGTGCGACCATGCATCGATGCGCTCGTCTCGCGTACGAGGCCGCACGCTCAGCTGACTGGGGATTCAAACGGCTCGAACCGGAAGTCGCGCCATTAAATTGCAAGCCCTTATATCTCGGTAACGAAACCTCGGATTGCGAACCAGTGAAGAGCTTTTCGATTTCTACCGATATAACGAATCGATCCCGAGGAAGCGTTCTCGTATTTTCGGTAACGCTCCGCGGGAGGATAAAACGAAAAAAGGGAAAGGACCTCGCCTCGCGCGTCCTATGGGAACCGCGGGATTGGTTAGTTAGTTATGCCAAGGCACGTAACACGACTCTCGCGAATACCATCGAGCTGAAGAGAGCAACGGGCCACCGGATCTGCGCGTAACGACGCGATTGTGTTCAAACTAACCGCTCGGAGCCCGGGGTCAAACCGCCGCACGGCGCCGTTTGCACACCCACGCGACGGTTGCTCCGTGAATTCAATTCATCGGGAGGAGAAAAAAAAATCGTAGCGGCGCCAACCTCGCGCGCGATCGATCCCGAAACGACCAAGAATGCGCGCTCGCGTTCTCTCTCTCTCGATCCAGCGTCGGACTGGGCGGTTAACGTTCGCCGAAATCGCCCAGAGGATGAAATACTGGCGAGCAGGAACGATCGTAGAAGAGGAAAAGAGAAGGAACTGGGCTGAGCGTCTCGGCGAAATTGCTCTTAACGATCCTCGATTTTCTCGTTAGTCGGAATCGTTCTTGGAAGCGACGTACGCCGCGTTCCCGTTTTCCCCCTCCCTGTACACCTTCTTCGTCGTCCTTTGGATCGTCCCGAAAGACCCGCGGCCGAATTTCGTACGTCGAAACTTTCCATCGAGTCACCTCGTTTGCCCGTCGACGTCGAACCTCTGCCCTCGCCGTTTGCTTGCTCTCGCTCTGTCTTTCATACGCGTCTGAAGTCGCTTTCACGGCCGATTGCCGGCAAGAATCGAGGATAAACGTCGCTCGACGTCGACCGGAGTGCAAAGTTACGTGACGCAAAGTTTCGCTATGGCTAAAAGGCTCGAAATTGTCGCGAAATTTCGAACGGGACGCTCCCGGAGAAGCCTCTTGCGGCTCGCGAGCCACGCGAGGCGTCAACGCTGTCTATCGGTCCACGCTTACTGTGGAAAGTTTGTGTCCAGTTTGTTGCAACTTGGAATGGTAGATTTTTTTTATCAGTGTAACGAATTTCTTGGTTATGATGCTGAAAAACTGCTGGTTCACTCGCTATTAACTATTTAATTGTTTAAACGGATATAAGTAGTAAACTGTTATAGATGGACGAATTTGTTTAGAATAAAAGTGCTTTGCTTTTAAAAAGGAACATATAGTTATTCTTAAGAATTTTGGAAATTTTAATTACGTATGGAGATTTCGAGCATAAACTAGAATATGGTGCATGTTATCGTTACCATGCTGAAAAACTATTGCTTTATTTTCTATTAACAGTTTAATTATTTAAATGAATATACACGATTTAAAAAAAGTACTTTTTAAATAGGAACATAAAGTTGTTCTCAAAGATATTTTACATTTTTATTAATAATGGATGAAGAGCTAAAGTTATACATGTTGAGCTCACTCCATTTCTATGTGGAATATAATAGTCTACAGTCTCTATTTTGAAAGTGAAGACACGTCAATCACTATAATAAACGAAAATAATCATGTTTCATAAAAATCGTTATCACGTCGTAAATACTAAAAAGTGATTTTTAGTCAATTTTTGATAGTCCTGATTTAAAATAAGACGGTATACTATAATTCAAATTGCTTTTTATATCGCGTGGGGTAATTACATTTTCAGTTTTTCGAGATACACCAATTAGTTCACGAGATAATGGCAATCGAAGAACGGACATCGTCGATGTAGCGCGCACGTGCTCGCGTTTAATTGCTTTTTCGATATTTTAATTTCTTTTCAATCTTCAATATAAATGAAATGAGTCTAATCCATCCATTATGACTTCAACTTTGCTGCCAATCGGTGCCATTACGTCTATGTGAAAAAAGCAACGCGCATTTTATTTCTGTTTTATTCATATTTTGCAATTTTTTTATAATGGATGCATATTACAATCGTCTATTTGATAGATATTTGAAAAAGACAAAACAAAAGCAATGTTCACTTTAATCAGTTACTAATTTTGAATATAAAAATGAACGAAAACAATTATACTTTTCTTATTACAAAATAATACTTCATCGCAGATTTATAGATTCTCGAAACTTTTTTCATCAAAAACAAAATATCAGTTTAATGCAAACTGATATTACTGTTAAATAATTTTTTTCGCACCTTTTTCTAACTAAACCGTCGTCCATTTCTCACAGAAATGAAATCGACAATAGTTGGTGTACGCGTTGGAAATCCACGGAATAGACAAAATACGACAATATATTGCAGTATTTCGCAATATAAATAGTACAGATTTTCCTACGACAAATATAGATCCAAATGTTTCACAGTGAAATAACAATAAGTCTCATAAAAATGAATCGGAATAGATATTCCTGTACACTCTCGTGCAGTACAGATAAAATGTTACCAGCTCTTTTAATTCAATAGTTTAGGGCTTTTCTTTTAATTCGATGGTCCAGGACGAGAGGTAATTCAACGTGCAAAACTTGAAACTTTGTTGTATAACAGTGCTTTTCTATGATAAATGATATTTTAAATTCGTTGGATACGCGTGGAATTAACTGTGAGTACGATTTGTCTGACGCGCCTGACCATATCGCATTATTTCTACTTAAATTTCACGTATGTACGACGGCTTACGGGCAGTTTTGCATTCTTCATTGGTTGATTCTTTTTATTTTCCTCATAAAACACTTCCTTTTGGATAAAATAAAACAAATTTATATACATATGTGTACATATACAACATACAATATACAGAGTGAATAGAAAGAGTTGTAGTTATTAAAAAAATGTTCGTACAAAAGTTGTTTGATAGGACGGGCTACATTATATAGTACTAATTGCTTTCTTGTGAATGGAGTGATAGAGGAGATTTGAAGATCAATTTAAGTTTCTTAAATGGAATTTTCTTTTTCTCATCAGAAAGTAACAGCAGATATTGAGACAAATCCAAAGAGGTGTTATACGATATTATTTTGAAATCGATAAAGGTAAATTGTTGGTTTATTTTGTATATGTACCGATAGAATTTTCTATTCTAAACTAACACCGAGCGGGGATTATATTCATAGAGAAACTTGTTTACAATGTCAAGTTCTATAACATATTCAAAAATCATCGAAATCGGTGAAGTGTCCCCTGTTTCAAACAATTGCCATGACCAGTGTTATTGAAAAGCGGAATTTCGCATATTTTTGTTCGAACATACAGATATTTTCCTATTCATTTTTGTTTTAGCCACGGGTTTAAGTCTACAGCTCTCATAATATTGAAAAATAGAGTAACGATTCAACATCGAACGAATTAGTAAACCCCATTGTTCGTGTCGAAACTTGCGTCGCGACAAATATCAGAGTCCCTGTTAGCAATTGGACGCAAACTTAACAAAGTACCGTGGACTCTAGGCGGCTAATGGCACGTCCAACCAACGAACCATCCTTCTCTTCGATGTTTCAGTGGAGGGCCACGCGAGCGTCGCGACGCCCTCCGTGTGCCTGGCGGTGGCGAGCGCCGCGCTCATGCTGCGACTGTTGCTGCCCGTTTAGAGAATCTTCCAACGAACCAGCGAATCGGCCCATCGACTCGCCGCGTCTCGCTCGCGCTGGTGATCGCGATAGCGACTGGTGGACACGCGGGAGGAACCGACGGTACCAAGAAGCTGTGTAGCGGATGACGAAGGAATTGGAAGTACAGGAGGAAAGTAGGTGTGAAGGACAGACGACGAAGAGACAGGGGTATTGCGTTGGACGTTTCGAAATTCGCCGCGAAATTAAAGGGAAACGCGCGTGTCGGATGGTCGGCGGCCATCAGCGGGGAATATGGAGACGATAGGAGCGAACTAATACTATCACAGGGTATCAGAGCTGGGCATTTAAACAAATTAAACGTAACAGTATCGGTTGAAGTTACTTAAACTTTGTTCGTTGATGGGAGCTACCGGGTGAAAATCGTACAATTCTCTGCAGGATTAAAATTTGTATTTTGGGCCATTTGTAAACCGCGTAATCTAAAATTTGCTACTGTACCAATTTGAAAAATATTACAGTGTGGAAGTTTTAGATGAAAAGTACAATTGAGATGTACATGTATTTACCTCTAAATTGATCGATCTTTAGAATTTTGAAATTTCCTATTACCTACATATTCTTCAAAGAAGTAGGGGGAGTTCCCCTAAGTAATGAAAAAACGCATGAATTATTATACCTTTTGGTAAGTACTTTTTTAATTACGTTTGTATTTTGTATATACAAGGTGTTCGGCCACCTCTGAGAAAAAATTTGAATGGAAAATTCTAGAAGCTAAAATAAGACGAAAATGAAGCATACCAATTTGTTGATTGAGGCGTCGTTAAAAAGTTATTAACGTTTAAAGTTCCACACCGACCGGAAAATTTTTCGGTGAAAAAAAAAGTTTCAAATCGTTCTGAAAAAATTATTTTCAGTTGCGGAGGCCAATTACAATCATTTTTGGTGAATACGCATACATCCGAAATCCTACGTACTTTCGAGAACAAAATTCGTGTAGGTGGACAAATTTTATTAATAATTTTGTTAATAACTTTTTAACGAAGCCTCGACCAACAAATTGGTATTCTTGATTTTCGACTTATTTTGGCCTCTAAAATCTCTCGTTGAAATTTTTCCCAGGGTGGCTGAACACCCTGTATAGTGCACTGGTTTTTATAAAGCAAACTTTTTTTTATGGCTTTGATGCCCCTGGTTCCGGACAGATCATCGACCCCTATTACCGAACACTAAAAATCTAAATTTTGCTTATTCATATTCGTACTAATGGCCTCAAATGTACTGGAATTTGTCTTCTGGATAGGAATATGTTCTCAGACATTGATTATGCAGGTTATGAAATGACAAATATTCCACACGAAGAAATAAGAAATCAGCAAAATTTGACCAAACTTTAACCAAAATTTCAGTTAACTATTATAATAATATTATTTGTTTTGTTGATTTGAAAAAGACCTTAAGTGTCCGGTACTAGGGAAACTCCCCCTAATACAGTCTACTCGGGTTATTATCGCTAAGTAGAGGCGAATATTGGTGAATATCGAGTATTTTTCAATCAGTTTGACCAGACAGTACCTAAAAGTATTATCGATCCTCGAATAATCCCAGTTAACAGCAATCCCTCGTTAATGTTCCGCAACGCGAACGCTATCGAGGGAGGTACACTATTCTTCAAATCGCTAATAATTATTTACTAGTAAACAAACACGAAAGACACTGACAACAAGTAAAATAGAAAGCAATGTTCAACATTTGTTTATTCATAACATCGTTGAGACATCAAAAGCACACAAGTAACTGTCTCACAAATTGCACAAAATCGTACGAACGTTACTTCTAACACATTCTAATCAATCGTCGATCTATTTTTTTGTGTCATATTTTTTTAACGCGTTCGAAATTTGGTTCCTTTTCACTGCTATGTATACGAACATTAGCGAGGGACAACAACCGTATTCGTCTAAGACGAAATTGCTCGAGCAACGAACGAATTTTGATTAATTTTATTCGATTTTTTCTTTTTTTAGTTCACGTTTTGCCCATCTCTGCCAGGTTACTGTAGAGTGAGCGCGAACTTTGAAGCGGAATCGCAGTTTCCGAGTCGCGGAATCCGCGCTTCAGACGCGTATACGAGCTAGCAACAGCGTTTTAAATCGCGTCATCGCGTCGCGAGCATCGATACACGCGATCGATGAGTGCAGTCGAGCGCAGGACCGGCCCGGACGCGGATTATCGTCTCGTTTTGCGGCACGCGACTCGAAAGTACGATTTACGAGCCTGTAAGCCGATTAATTTGTAAAATTCGACGTACACGGCTAGAGCAAATATTTGTCGAAATTGTTCCCGGGAACCGGTGGCGATCTTTCGCCGGCGATCCCCAAACCCGATCAGAGATGGGCGAAAATTCTTATCTCGATGAACATTTCTGAACGACGAACAGAGAAGATAAACAGTCGTTGTTTGTTCAGTTTTAAAATCTGTATCATAGAATGACATTAATATTTCGCGTCGAACGAGTACGAGCTTATCCGGATCGATCAATGGAATAAATGTTGCATATTAAGTGCTATATTCCATTTATCCGATCTCTTAATCGAATAAAATTGTGCCCATCTCTGAACCCGGTACAGTACTGCCTCGCTTCTTGACTAAATTCTCGGTCGGGGATACACGAGATCTATTTTTATTCGATTCCAGATGTCCGACGGCTGTGGGATCGGCCCTGTGAATTTTATGATATTTTTTTTAAATTAAATAAAATTCTGTTAACTTTACGGAATTCAAATTTTATTAAAATTCTTGTTCATTATAATTTATCGTGCTGGTCAAACCGTTCCTGTTGGTAGCAGTTCGTAACCGTCGTGTACTAATAGAAACTAAAATTTATTTTAGTAATGACTTATTAAGCTTGATTATAAAAATATGTGGAAAAGTTTACCATTAATGAATTCGACTAATGTTACATGCAGGCAAAGTGCAAAAATCTGGTACCAGAAATTCGAAGCACGCGAAAATCCAGACTTTTTAAATTATATGTCATAAAGCAGAATGCCAGTTTTATGCCTATTGACATTTATGGGGATTTTCAGCCTTTATTTTTGTTCCAAAATGGTAAGTATTATATGGAGCACAGTTCTTGTTTAAATTTACACAAATGGACCTAGTAAAACAATTGTCCTTTTGAACTGCTTATTGTGTCTTTCTTTTATAACAAAAGTTTACTTAATGTTGTTTTTTTATTCTTAATTCATTCTTCCATTAAAATTTTTAAAATAATGCTTAGTAGATTTGGACTAATAGATAGTAATTTTTTTCTCAATCCTTTGGATACAAAGATTTCAAATTTGAATTCGTGAGACCAGAAAACACTTTTCCATTGTTTCAATGTTCAATGTTTATGGTATGCAACCCACTGGAGCTCTTCTTCCTTATTTTGCAACTTTCATAATAGTTTCATCACAACCAGAGAGACAGTCGTCCAAAAGTCGACTTTTTCAGTTTCCCCTGAAACTGGTTCACTTCCGGTTTTATTTATATTCTACGGTTATTTCGAACGCTGTATCTCCTCCATTTCGCTCGCTGAAGGTTTTAATATATCGATCTTCTTATTCGCTCGTTCTTCTTGAACGTCACGGTTGCTTTACAGATGCACAACCACCAATCAGAGCGTACATTTTCATTTTACTTTGAAACTTCAACTTCGTTTGAAATTTCTCTTCCGGAATACGCTTCGAACAATAATCAACTATTCGGGAACGTTTCCACAACATTAAGTTCCTTTCATTTTACAGTTTAATAGTCTATGAGACTACGTAAATACTACTCATAAACGATAAAATTCAAATGCTACCGATCTGTTCGCGGCTAGAAAGATGGCAACTGACAAAATTGACGATTTGATCGATTTTAGCATATATCTCACGATTTTCATTTTTTTTAACTTGCATTTCAAACTTTCTATAATCTTCGATTAATTTTTGTACTGTTATCCGCGTGGATGTCGACGGCGACAATGCGTTTCTGAACGAAGTGACAAACTGTCCACGCTGGAGGAGCGTTTATTTCTGTTGTTTCCTATTGCCGTGTGCTTCCTATTTCTCTTCCATTTCTACCGATTTGAATGGAAACAAGACATTTGTCGCTAGCGACGGAAACCCGACTAGAGTAACATTCGCCAATAAACGGCGACTTTTTCAAGAAACATTGTCAAAATATTTCTCGATCTTGTAGACGTAGCTTCGAATCAATCTCCACCGCGTCAGTGGCGTAGAATCACGATGAAAATCTTTGTATCGCCAGAGTATTGCCTCGATACCATAACAAAACAAGGAATTTGATCGCAAAAAAATATTATTATTCTGCAGACTTTGTGATTATTCGGACAGAAAGTAAAAAATTAAACATTATACTTTATCAGTGGGAAAAATGACTTTAAATGCGAGGACGATTATATTTTTCATCGTGAGAGTGTTGCCTCAATACGATAACAAATTAAGTAATTTGATCGGGAAAAAAATTATTATTCTGCAGACCAATGCTTTGTGATTATTCGAACAAAAATTACAAAATTAAGCCTTACTCTTCACCAATGAAAAAAATGACTTGGTCGATCATGAGTGTTCAAAAAGTGCCAGGACGGTCATATATTTCATCTATAAACAATAACGTTTAATTTTCTATTCTTATTTCTCTAGAACAATAACTTTCAAATTTCTTATCTTGTTAATATGTATACTTCTACACGATTTTCACTATAATTTCCTTCCACCGCGTACGTTCTTGAATACTTGACTGGATTTCAAGAATGGAGGCAGTGCTGCGTAAACAGATCCCGACGAGGTTCGTTTCGGAAGAGAGTCGGTCATGGCGAGAGTCGCGGAGCGATGCGTCTTGATGTCCCGCCGCATATCCCGCCGTCTTTCTCGCATTAACGTACTCGCGTAGCACGCAAACGACGCGTACGTGTACCCGTTACGGCTTCGAAGCTTCCACTCCCTTGTACTTGTACTTCCGAAGAAAAAAAAAAAACGATGCGACGTACCTTTCTCGCGTCGCCACTCTTCTAGCTCGTAGTCTCGTTCGCGCGACCGACCGACCGACCGCTTCCGGTGTCCCTGCACCGCGCCAGCCGCCGGCCAATTCGCCTTCCACGCGTCTCCCACCCACCCACCCACCTCCTCGGAGAAACCTCTCTGTGTGCATGCATGTGTGCGTGCGTGTATACTTTGTACATACTTGCGACGCGCGTATCATACCTGTCGTATCTACGTACCTTACCGATTAGAAGAGAAAAAAAAAAGAAATCCGTGATCGCATCGAAGCGAAATTTATCGCGCTTTCCGTAGTGTAGGCAACGACCGGTGGCGTCTATCGCGAGAGACCTTGAGCGTTCGATAATTCTGTCGTTATCGCCTCCGTCGTTATTCCGTCGTCCCCCCGTCATTATTTTCCCGCCTTGTCGTGTCGTTAATTCGCTTCGTTACCGACCGAGGTATGTATAGTTCGGCCGAGCGAAAACGAAGCTCGAGTGTATAGTTCGGCCAAGCGAGAATGAGACTCGAGGAACACCGCGCTGGCTTAGGGCCGGTGAGTACAGAAACTTGAATGAGATCTAGGATGAGCATGAATCTGGCTAATAAAGAATCCTATTCCTTGAAGACAGTTAACGATATTAACTTTTTTTAAGTCGTTGCAAAGGGGAGACTTCGTTCTTCAAATACACGGTAGTTTCAATTGCAAATTGAGTTGTGAGAGTAGAGAGTTTA